CCACGCCATATGAGCTGTGTGGGGGACTCGTGGCGGTAGTCATCAGGAAACCGCAAATTAAGTCACCGAAAGTGCGCAGTTGACACATGACTGGGGCCCTGTTTTTGGCCGCCATCTTTTGTGCCCGTTATTCGGTGGATAGTCTATATATTTATATAGCGGCATGATATTGAGAGAGATCAAAGACATAAGGAATTAGAGCATGAGGTTATACTAATATACAACATACATTATGCAGAGGGTGACACGGTATTGATAGCTGAAAATGCAAATGATCTACAACAATTATTGGACATTGTAGTGAGGGAGAGTGGCTGTCCTTGACTAGAAAGGAAACAAGAGATAATGGTTATATTTTTAAAAAAACGAATACCACAGCGAGATAGTAGAATAGAAGGTTAAAAAAAAATTAATTCGATAAATTCAAATATCTGAATACAGTCCTAATCCTAATATTAGGTGAAGATGTGTGTCAGAAATTAAGAGCAGGCCAGGCTAAGGCTGCATTTCACAGAATGATTATCGTGTGCAACGTCTTTTTCTTTGGATGTTCAAAAGAGAGTACTAAAATGTTATGCAGAATCTATATAGCTGTTTGGTAGTGAATCATGGGATGTGAATGCACAAATTAGAAATAACTTGGAGGTGACAGAGATATGATTTCTCAGTCGGGTGTTGAGAATCCCATGGACTGCATAGTAACTAACAAGGATTGCTTGAAGGAAGCTAATGAAAGCAGATCAATATATACAGCTATAAGGAAAAGACCAGAACTGTTGTTTGAAATGAGGGAGAAGGCTTTGGAGAATACTGTGACAGTTGGGGAAATCAGCGGTAAAAGAGGGAGAGGCAGACTAAGAGAGATGATGACAGATGGATTGCGGTGGAGGGTGGAACTGATCCAGAAGACAAGGGGCCAAGATCTGTGGAGGTGCATGAAGGCCTACAGGGCATGTGTTGATGATTTCTGTTCTTCTCCATTGTCAATAGTAGTGATAGCAGTCATCTTCTTCCCTCTTTTCTTATTCTTTTTTCTATTTCCGTCTTGTCTCATTTTTTTCTTCTGTCTTCTCATCATTACACCCTCCTTCCTTCTCAGTCCACCTGTTCAAATTTTCCAAACCATTTTTATTGCATACAGCTATCTCTAGCTGAGAATTGCAGTCATGATTTTCCATAGAGCACACACAATGTCTTAGCATAATGTATGCACTTCCTAGCACCAACAAGAATATTTAAACTCCTGTAGCAAAAGAACAGTTTAGTTTGTTGAAGTGAACTCGTGGTGTGTTCCTTGTTACCCAGAGAGTTAAATCAGAATAAGATGATCATTCAGTGATATTGAAGTGATTGTATAGGATAGAATGGAGAAATAGACTGAGCCCTGTTTGAAATTTGAACAACGAACCGTCATGGCACACAGGTAGTAACTCATAATTGCTCCGTTCTTCTTCTGACTCAAGTCTGAGTCTGAAGAAGATCAGCACAGTCACAGACTTTGTAGCACCGGCGAGGATCCTTAAATACTTTGGGTAAATTTTTAACTCAAAATTTTGCCCGGGTAGCGCCGTTAGGCTATTCTTTTAGATTTCCAACTGCCAAGGGATTTGTTTACGTGTGCAACAATGGACACAGGTGTCAGATCTCACTACCCAGAAATCAGGGGGAATTACTATAAGTCCAGGTTCGTGTGAAAAAATCCCAGCCCTCACCAGGGATTGAACCCAAACCTCCAGCACTCGAGATGGACACCATGCCTCGAAACCATGTAGCCCCCTCATGAGCCCTGTGTGATATGTAATAGCATGACAGGACATTGAATGAATGAATAAATAAATGGCGTATTCACTTTGTTCCTTTTGCTTTTTTTTACATTTGCTGTTTGCACACAGCTGCTTTATCTTCTACAACATAAATGGAGAAGGATTGGCATCTTGCCTTCTGCCACATGAATGGGAGGAGGGCGTGGTCTTCTACAACATGAATGGGAGGAGGGTGTGGCTTCTACCACATGAAAGGGAGGAGAGTGTGGCTTCTACCACATGAATGGAAGGAGGGCGTGGCTTCTACCACATGAATGGAAGGAGGGCGTGGTCTTCTACAACATGAATGGGGGGGGGGGGACGTGGTGTTCTACAACATGAATGGGAGGAGGTTGATGTAGTATCTTATTCTTGTCGCTGTTTGTATCCACTAGCCTAAAGCTGGTGTCACCAAAGAGAATTGTGCAGGCAAAGGGCCCTATTTTTTTTTTTGGGGGGGGGGGGGGAACAAGAATATACTTACTACCCCTCTAACAGGCATATTGTCAAAGCAGCTAATTAGGGTTGTTTCCTTCAGAGTTGGAAAGCATCTTGAAGAAGAAGAACAGAAAATCACCCACAGAGGAATGGTGAGCCCAGAACCTCGGGAGCTGGCAGACAAGTGTGCTAGTCTCTGCTGCCCTGCTTTCCTTTCAGGTTGGCATGCAGTAGTACACAGTACTGGCATCTTCTGTTTTATTCATAATTATATTCACTGTTACTGTGATAATGTGAGTTCCATCATCATCATGTAGCAGGTCCTTTGCAGAACGCCGCTCTCATCACAGTCTGCCTGAAAAAAAACTCGGTCTCTCGCCAGTTCTCCCGCCTCACGCACTTTCACACTCAAGGAGTCACTTATATCCTGTGCCCATCTTCGTGTCGGTCGGCCCCTGCCCCTCCTTCCCTGTACCATGCCTTCTGCTATAATTTTTTCCAGTCCGTCGTGGCGCTTGATTTGACCAAAATATTTCACCTTTCGAGAAAGGATGCTGTTTATTAACCAATCTTCCTTGATGTTCAGATCTTCTAAGATGTCAATATTTCTCATCTTCCTTGTCCAAGATATTCTGAGAATCTTTCTATAACATTTCAGCTCGAAAGCCCCTATTCTCTTTCTTAAGGATGTTGTGAGTTCCAGCACCTTTTTATTCCTACGACAAAGCTCTGACTGTCTGTAGGTGGTCTCCTAGTGTTAATAATGATGTGTAATAGTTGTAACATTGTTGATAGTAATTGTAACTATGTTTCAGGTGCTGCTTGCAGCTGCAGTGTGTAACCGTACTGGAAAAGGTAAGTTTGTTAGGTTTATATTTGTTACAGTGAGTGCAGGAGGTTTATATTTGTTACAGTGAGTGCAGGAGGTTTATATTTGTTACAGTGAGTGCCGGAGGTTTATATTTGTTACAGTCAGTGCCGGAGGTTTATATTTGTTAGTCAGTGCATGAGGTTTATATTTGTTACAGTCAGTGCAGGAGGTTTAGATTTGTTACAGTCAGTGCAGGAGGTTTATATTTGTTACAGTCAGTGCAGGAGGTTTATATTTGTTACAGCCAATGCAGGAGGTTTATATTTGTTACAGTCAGTGCAGGAATTAAGAAATTAGAAGAGGACTAGCACTGAAATAAGTCATACAGTTAATTAAATAACAAGTGAGATGGTTTGGTCACCTGTCGAGACTGTCCTGGTGTCAACTGCTACAAAGAGCCATGGTGAAGAAATATAATAAACACAGAGCAAGGGGAAGACCATGCAACAGATGGAGCGACATCATCAAGAGCAACCTAACGCAGATGAACACCAACTTGTACAATGCATTGGAAAAAGCGCACTAACGACCCTTACATCTCCTCCCAACACCTCACAGAGGTAAATGGTGGAAGAGAAGAAAAAGCTGAAGTAAATGGCAAAATTGTAATTGCTGAATTAAATGGTAACTTTATAATTGCTGAAGTAAATGGCAAATATGTGATAGCCGAAGTAAATGGTAAATTCCTGGTACCATACACTCTGGTATTATACTTTCCAGTCTGCCGTGCTGCTTGATAAGTCAAAAATATTTCAATTTCTGAGACAAGATGCTGTTTGCTAGGTAATCTTCTTTGATTTTGAAATCTTTTAAGTTGTCATTATTTCTGGTGTGATCCATAGTTTTCTGAAAATCTTTCTGAGGACGTGAACTCAAAAGCCCTAGTTTTCTTCCTTAATGACTGCAAGATAGTCCACGACTCACATCTTTATGTTGCTACAGGGAAGGTGTATGCTCTGACAATTTTGACTTTTTTTCCTTGTTAGTGCTTAACCAGAGATTTATGATGCTGTTTAATCTGTGCACAGCTATGGCCATCCTCATTTTGACTTCTGTTTTGAGTTTTCATTGCTGTTTTTTATGGAGTCTAGATATTCAAACTATGTGACATGTTAACTGTCTTCATCATGAATTGTTATTTTTTGGGTGATGGCAATTTTGTGTCCCATAAAATTCCATTAAAGGAAGCTAAGGTATCACCAACACCATTACATGCATCACTCCAGCTGGTTTATACTTACTATTCAACAGTGGAGGTAAAGAGAAGGCTTTGGATAGGACGCACATTGAGAAACCCTGCGAACAATATAACTAGAATGTCCTTGCACTGGAAATCACTGGGGCAAAGAAATAAAAAGTTAGCTGCGAATTATATGTACAGGAGGTTGCAGAACCAGCCCCAGCATTGTTTGGCTGTTGTGGTTTTTCTAGGCAGATTTATGTCCAGTAGTTTGCCATTGCTTTATGGACGGTCAGCTTCTTGATAACACTGTCAAAACCAACGCACGGTTTAGGGCCAGCAGCTTGGATCAAACCCGGCACCCGGTCATTACAAAGCGCGTTCACAACACATAAGCCACAGACGCCGACGTGCATAGAAATAAAGGAAGACAGAAAAATTACAGAAAGGAACGACTTCATGTGAGTTGGTAGACCACCTATGCTCCATTGGGGGCTAGAAGACAGAAGAAGTGGAGGAAACACATGTAAATATGTTATCAAAATGCATAAATGGTAGTCATGTGGGGCATATTATATGAATAGAAATGGTTTTCATAAAACAAAAATGTGTATTTTTCATGTGCATGTAAAATTATGAGAAATCCTCTATAATCAGTGCATGGCCTAAATATTTTACTTAACAGTTAGTTTACCTTGAACATTTTCAGCCATTGTGTCCAGGCAATTTGTGGAGATGACCCGCTCTCGTGTAGAAGGACTGCTGTCTGCTTTCCCAAAGCTCATCGGCACCGGAAAACAGCATACGTTTGTGGAGACAGAGAGTGTGCGTTATGTGTACCAACCCTTGGAGAAGCTGTATGTGTTGTTGATTACAACCAAGGCATCTAACATACTGGAGGATTTGGAGACTCTGCGTTTGTTTGCCAAAGTGGTGAGTTATATGTGTGGGTTTTTTGTTGTCATGAGTTATATGTATAGATTTTTTATTGACTTGAGTTATATGTGTGCGTTTTCTGTAGTCATGAGTTATGTGTGTGGGTTTTCTGTAGTCATGAGTTATCTGTGTGGGTTTTCTGTAATCATGAGTTATATGTGTGGGTTTTCTGTAATCATGAGTTATATGTATAGATTTTTTATTGACTTGAGTTATATGTGTACATTTTCTGAGTCATGAGTTATGTGTGTGGGTTTTCTGTAGTCATGAGTTATCTGTGTGCATTTTCTGTCATGAGTTATATGTATGAGTTTTTTTATTGACTTGAGTTATATGTGTGGGTTTTCTGTAATGAGTTATATGTGTGGGTTTTCTGTAGTCATGAGTTATATGTGTGGGTTTTCTGTAGTCATGAGTTATATGTGTGGGTTTTCTGTAGTCATGAGTTATCTGTGTGGGTTTTCTGTAGTCATCAGTTGTATGTGTGGTTTCTGTAGTCATCAGTTATATGTGTGGTTTCTGTAGTCATCAGTTATATGTGTGGGTTTTCTGTAGTCATGAGTTATATGTGTGGGTTTTCTGTAGTCGTCAGTTATATGTGTGTTTTCTGTAGTCATGAGTTACATGTGTGTGTTTTATATTGCCTCGAGTTATATGTGTGTATTTTCTATTGTCATGAGTTATATGTATTTACCAAAAACGGTGAGATATACTATATGTATTTTCCATAGTCATAAGTTGTGTGTATTTCCCAAAGTTATGAGTTATATGTTTCTCCATTAAGTGCTTAGTTAAACGTATGTTAATATATATATATATATATATGTGTGTGTGTGTGTGTTTAATATTAAAGTGGGGAGTTGTATGTGTTTATTAAATTTGTGAGTTGTGTGAAAAGACATAGCAACATGGCAGCTGAGTTGTACTTTGCCTCCAAAAAGAGGCATTTCTGGAGTATTTTCATTAAAGGCAGAACAACTGGAAAATGTGTGAGTCCCGTAGAGATAGATATGAAAATGTGTGAGTTCCATAGAGATAGATATGAAAATGTGTGAGTCCCATAGAGATAGATATGAAAATGTGTGAGTCCCATAGGGATAGATATGAAAATGTGTGAGTCCCATAGAGATAGATATGAAAATGTGTGAGTCCCATAGGGATAGATATGAAAATGTGTGAGTCCCATAGGGATAGATATGAAAATGTGTGAGTCCCATAGAGATAGATATGAAAATGTGTCAGTCCCATAGGGATAGATATGAAAATGTGTGAGTCCCATAGAGATAGATATAAAGGGGCATTTACCTGCGGGTGATTGTTTATATTTTTCGTGCCGACAGGAAGTCTTCTTCATTGGTTGTCTAATTGATGTAAATGCCTGTTTACAGCATGGATGTGATATTTGTGCCTTTTGGCCAACATTTATGACTTCTTTGGGCTTTTGCTGTCCAGATTAGCCTTCCTGGTTATATTTGTTGGAAATTTATAGGCCTCACATGGGTGGGCCAATCTACACATGCCTGCCCTGGACCAGGTCCTCTAGGGACAAGACCTCTGGATCAGGGGGTGACAAAGTCCCCACCCATGTGAGGCTATAAGAAGGAGGAGCATGGACTTTCTTTGCCATCCAAGGAGGTTTCCACACACGCTGAGCTGATTCATGGCTCACTGGTACTGGTGTTCAGCCAAGGAATCATCACATCCCGACCACAGATTGCATACTTTTTTAGACAGACCCCATATTTTTCATTTCTTCTCTGATACTGTCGGCTCTGTGCCTAAGTCGATGCAAACACTTCATAATGCCGAAAAGCTGGGTTCGATCCCAGCTGGGGCCCATGCGGCTTGCGTTGGTTTCGACAGTGGTATCAAGAAAGCCGACCGTCCAGAAAGAAGTGGCAAACTACTGGACGTAAATTTGCCTGGGAAAACCACACAACAGCCGGGTTCTGTTGGGGTTGGTTCTGCAACTTCCTGTAAAAAATATGACACTAACCTATTTACCTATCTGATACTAACTTTGGTAAAATAATCTAGTAACACTTTTATTCTGTCGATACCCAGTTGCCGGAGTATTGTCGTAAAATGGAGGAGTCTGAAGTGGTTGACCAGGCTTTTTCTTTGATATTTGCCTTTGACGAAATAGTGGCTCTTGGGTACAGGGAGAATGTCAACCTGGCACAGATCCGAACTTTCACAGAGATGGACTCGCACGAGGAAAAAGTGTTCCAGGCTGTCAGACAGGTATCTACCTTTACTGCAGTATATTCTTTAATTGTTTGACATCATATTTTTATGATTAAAAAGGATCAAGGATTAATTTTTTGACTTTTAACATGTTTTATGACTGATAGCTCACTACACAGACCAGCTGAATTATTGTGGCCTGAAGCAAGTTAGGAAAATTAAATATTTATGAAAGTTGGCATAATTGAGAGAGTAATATAAACCAGATGTCAGAAAGCAAGTGCACTTGTATATCAGTTGTCACCATTATTAAGACATCCAAACATAACTGAGTCCAAAGAGATGTATTATAAACAGAATATTCATTCCAACATTGAGTAACCGGTACCAAACATGGACATTATCTAATGCCCATGTACGCAAAATGAGGTGCCTGAGAAAAGTCGCCAGCCTAACCATCCAAGATCGAGTGAATAATGGTGCGAACAGACATACTTTGGGAACAATTCCTTGTTGATTCATGAAAAGAAAAACAGCAGATTAAGTGGTTTGGCAATGTCATTAGAATGCAGCATCATCATCATGTGAACTACATCTCAGAAGGTCAGCTACAAGAGCAAAGAGACAGCCATGAGAAAGATGAATACACAACATTGAAGACACTTTATGCTTTCCGTCACTTAATGGCAGTAGTGTGCACTGGACTGCAGATTGTTCTTCCCCATGATGCTTAATGACAAAATTATGTTAAGGATAAGTTACACGGAATGTTCTTCATGTGATAGAATGTCACACACAATGTTCTTCATGTAATAGAATGTCACACACAATGTTCTTCATGAGATAGAATGTCACACACAATGTTCTTCATGAGATTGAATGTCACACACAATGTTCTTCATGAGATTGAATGTCACACACAATGTTCTTCATGAAATAGAATGTCACACACAATTGTGATAGAATGTCACACACAATGTTCTTCATGAAATAGAATGTCACACACAATGTTCTTCATGAAATAGAATGTCACACACAATGTTCTTCATGAAATAGAATGGCACACACAATGTTCTTCATGAAATAGAATGGCACACACAATGTTCTTCATGAAATAGAATGTCACACACAATGTTCTTCATGAAATAGAATGTCACACACAATGTCCTCATGAAATAGAATGTCACACACAATGTTCTTCATGAAATAGAATGTCACACACAATGTTCTTCATGAAATAGAATGTCACACACAATGTTCTTCATGAAATAGAATGGCACACACAATGTTCTTCATTAGATAAAATGTCACACACAATGTTCTTCATTAGATAAAATGTCACACACAATGTTCTTCATTAGATAAAATGTCACACACAATGTTCTTCATGAAATAGAATGTCACACACAATGTTCTTCATGAAATAAAATGTCACACACAATGTTCTTCATGAAATAGAATGTCACACACAATGTTCTTCATGAAATAGAATGTCACACACAATGTTCTTCATTAGATAAAATGTCACACACAATGTTCTTCATTAGATAAAATGTCACACACAATGTTCTTCATGAAATAGAATGGCACACACAATGTTCTTCATTAGATAAAATGTCACACACAATGTTCTTCATTAGATAAAATGTCACACACAATGTTCTTCATTAGATAAAATGTCACACACAATGTTCTTCATTAGATAAAATGTCACACACAATGTTCTTCATATGATAAAATGTCACACACAATGTTCTTCATTAGATAAAATGTCACACACAATGTTCTTCATATGATAAAATGTCACACACAATGTTCTTCATGAAATAGAATGTCACACACAATGTTCTTCATATGATAAAATGTCACACACAATGTTCTTCATGAGATTGAATGTCTCACACAATGTTCTTCATGAGATTGAATGTCTCACACAATATTCTTCGTGTGATAGAATGTCACACAGTGTTCTTCATGAGAAAGAATGTCACACACAATGTCTGTCTCATAGAATGTTACTGTTTGTAATCAAATGAAGGATCCAGAGGTGCAAAGCTACAAATGGTGTATAGCTCAAATCTGGTCCAGACCTGCCAACATCTCTCCTGGCTCATCCTACAAACAGGTGCCCAGACTGGTGAACATAGATGGAATCAGTGCATTTACCAAAGTCAATGTACATCTGCATGAGAGGCAAGAAACTGAGAATGCACATAAATAATGTGTGATCTTTAAAACAGAATTGCTTGCAAAACTCAAGCCCTTGAACAAGACTAGAAGTCCAAAAGTGGACAAATTACTAGGGATTTCTATTGGGGGTTACAGCTGTTGACCATGAAGAAGAAGAAGAAGGATTGAAAGAAGGGATGAAAACATGACAGGGAATAATCTGGAGAAAAGGGAATAACTAAATAAAGAGATAGAGGTTGTAATAATAATATTTCAGTTCTCACAGTTTTCAGACAGTGGTACGAGAGTTGCAACATGGAAGAGATTGGGGCTTAGCCGGGTAATATTCCAAATGACAAGAGCGTTATAAAATGGTCAGCCTTCATTTTAGAGATTGCAGATAGTTTAACATTGTAATGGTAATATTATATTTTATATCACGGTCTCTTGAAAACAACACTGCAGGGCTGAGTAGAGGGGAAGAGGAGAAGAGGCAGACCAAGAAAGACCTGTATAGAGAACTTCATTGACTGAGCAGGCCTTAGTCATGCAACCGTGAAATTTGTTGCATATGGCCTCAGAGAGGGAGAGCTGATCAGACAGCATACAGAAACTTTGACCCAACTGCACGCATTGATGATGTGTCAATAAAATTTCAGGCTAAGTATCATTGCATTGTTTGTGATATGTTAAAAGACACATTGACAAATTTGCTTTACTTAAATATGATATACACTTTAAATTGTTTTTAACACATTTTGTTTCAAATTTAAGACTCAAGAGAAGGAAGCCAGGGACCACATGAAGAAAAAGGCCAAAGAAATAGGACAGCGAAACCGAGAAATAGCCAAATCTGGTCGCAGTCCAGGGTTTGGGAGCGCTGGAGGTTTTGGTGGTGGGACTTACCGATCTGAGGACACCCCTGCCCTGGATGCTAATGTCTCTGCAGGGGAGACAACCAAGTCTTCCTACAACAAGCCCAGGTATTGTAGGAATATGTTAATACTGTACTTCAGCTTTTTTTTTTAAAGGTCTGTCTGGAGCAAATGTTGATAAATAAGGATCTGTCTTTATATCTTTTGTCTCTCTCTGACTTGCTCTGTCTCTCTCTGTCTGTGTGTGTGTGGGTATATCTGTTTGTCTCTTTCTAAGTCTATGTCCCTTTTTATAGACTTTTATGTCTGTCTCTCTATCGCTCACATAGACAAATATCACAGGCATTTTGTGAACAGGTCTAGGGGTGGGCGAATAACCAGAACAACCGGCCAGAGTTTACAGACAGTGAACATGAAGGAAAAAAAGACAATGCTTAGTAAAATCACAAACAGTTTAAAAAAAATTAAAAAGAACGTTGTGGTTGGTTAGACTGACCTTTAAAGGACATGCAAATAACATTAACATAGTAGGTCAGGTTTTATTGATTGACTTTGACCTCCACGTTGACCCAGGCTAAAGATGGGTGCTGGGAAATGTTGCCAGTAAATTTACCAGTAATGATAATGACCACACCAGCCACCTCAGCAAGTTGCTGTATAAAACTAGAACCTACCATGCATGTCATTCCCAGTTTCCAATTCCAGTTGTCCAACAAAAATTCCAAATTTGATCCTTTTTCAGCCCCCCGGAGGCCTGCTATGTGGATGAAGGTTCCTTGGCTATCTTATTTAGTTTCCTATTCTTTGTGGTGTGAAGTCACACCTGATAGTCCTGTTCTTTGTCTTCCTAAGTCCGGTGTGGTACTTGGGGTTTTGGGTCTGGTCCTGTCCAGTTCTTTTAGTATCAATATCTGTGCGCTTTACCTGATTGTTGCTGGTGCTTGGTTTACCTCGTGCTGGTCGCTGCGCTAGTACCCTATTGCCTGCTTGGTTACCCTTCTGTAAAGCTGCGGGGGAAAATGCATGTCTTAAAAGAGAAAAGAGTTTATATGGGAATTTCTGCATCATTCCCAAGAAAACTGAACACATTATAAATGAGGCTACCGATGTTTTATTTTGAGTTGGTTGAAGATCTGTTCTCTCATTGGAGGTGGATGGAAAGCAGAATAAAAGGTCCCCATTGATGTGACTGAGAAAAACTAAATACGGATGTTTCCTTTGAAGTCACAGTAGATCTACCTGAGAGATGAGGAACCAACAGTCTGCACACAAATAAGCCACATCTGGGAAATGAATTTGCATGCAAAACTCACGTTCTGGAACAAAGTTCAGAAGTGAGTGGACAACCAGAACTTTCTGCTAGAATTTACAGCCAGTGAATTCTAAGAAGAAGAAGGTTACATGCTTTATTAATATCCTACCCCAAACGGGGAAATCCACAGATCTCGGGACTGTCAAATATTTCAGGGGGTGGTAGAAGGGCTGCATGTCTTGGGGTTGTTAAAAGCATCAAAAAGTCGGGAAACCCAATCTTACCACCCTCTAAAATGTCGGGACTGTCCTGGGGTAGGATATTAATAAAGCACTGAAGGTTATGTTGAAACCTGTAACAGGTTCTGAAAATGTCCATATTTGTACCACAGCAGACCTGTAGCATCAGGACCCAGCAAGGCTCTCAAGCTCGGCTCCAAGATGAAAGACGTAGATGTGTTTGTGGGCCAGCTGCAGTCGGAAGGACAGAGTAAGCTTTTCATTTGTTCTGGTCAAAATTCTTGTTTCACTGAATTTTAGTCAAAATTATTACTGAATTTTAGTCAGAATTATAGTTTTGCTGAATTTTAGTAAAAATTATAGTTTCGCTGAATTTTAGTAAAAATTATAGTTTCACTGAATTTTAGTAAAAATTATAGTTTCGCTGAATTTTAGGCAAAATTATCAAATATTATCACACTGAATTTTAGGCAAAATTCTATTTTAATTTGAAATATTGGACAAAGCTAGCTACATTTTGACATATGGCTGTGAATTATGGACAGTTGTTAGGCAGGCCAAACCATTTATTGAGGCCTCAGATATGTGGTTTTACAGAAGAATGCTTAAAATACCTTAGACAGCCAAAAAGAGCAACCAAGAGGTTTTGAAAGAGGTGGGAGCCCGAAGACAACTTATCACAGACATCAGAAGGAGACAGTCATCATTTTTCAGCCACGTTTTAAAAATAGGAAAATATAACATGTAGTGAATACTGGAAAGATTGTGGAAAGAGGGATAGAGGAAGACAATGAGAGAAGATTCTACAGTCTTGTTGCATGGTATGGAGGTGTGTCAGCATTCAAACTTATACATGGTGAAGGAGATCGCGGATTGTGGAGAGGCAAGATTGCCCACACCAGTCAGCAAGGCACCTGATAATGATGATGATTGGACAAAACTTTGATTCACTTTGCATTTTCTTTCTTTTATCTTTCCTGATAAAGTATAGGCTCTAAACCAGGGTAGTTCAAATGGCACCTCGCAGGCAAATTTGATTTGCGGGGGCCAAGCAAGTGGCCCATGGAGCATTGCCAGCTGTATTGTAATTAATACTTTCTATGCTTGGACTTGTGCCTCTGGCCCGTGACAATCCCTGTTTTCAAAATGTTGACCCTTGGGCAAACTTAGTGAAAGAAGCCCCACTCTGAAGCAACTCATGTCAAGCTCTTTGTACACTTCATCCTGTTTTATTTGATGAAGCAGGCAGTTTTCTGATTAGCTTGAAAATGGAAGTGGATCAGACACAGTTACTATGGTTTGGATATGTGGGGAGAATGGGTGACCACGTCAGGCAGGGAAAGAAATAACCAGGGAACCAGATCTCCTGGACAACCCAGAGTCCGCTGGGAAGGCAACACCTGACAGTTGCTGACTGACAGAGGACTGTAATGGAACAGTCCAGCATAGACAGAGGCCAGAACCCCAGCATAGACAGAGGCCAGAACTCCAGCATAGACAGAGGCCAGAACCCCAGCATAGACAGAGGCCAGAACCCCAGCATAGACAGAGGCCAGAACCCCAGCATAGACAGAGGCCAGAACCCCAGCATAGACAGAGGCCAGAACTCCAGCATAGACAGAGGCCAGAACCCCAGCATAGAGGCCAGAACTCCAGCATAGACAGAGGCCAGAACCCCAGCATAGACAGATCATTAATACAAAACAGCTGACAGTGTTCCGCAGGTCGTAGTGTATGCTAATGATTAATTCAACTGTCTCTACCATTGAACAGAAGTTGTTGATTCATCAAAGTCCATCTCTGCGGCGGTCAACAAGTCCAGTGCTCCAGTGGCTAACCAGGAGAAGTAAGTTCAACTCTCTCAGTCTGTAGTTAGCATCGTTTGGATATTTTTTCCAGGTCATAGCAGGCAGATAGACTGGCTGGCTCTGCACCACTTGGTGGTGAATTGATGTATGACAAGTTAGATATTGTGAGGGCCCTTTAGGAGCGAGTGAACAGTGCGGAGGCGCAGATAGATCATTACGGTCTAAGGAGAATGGTGCTGTGAGGAGTTGACACTCAACACTCAGAGGAAGGATGAGACAGAAATACAATCAGACGGTTACTGGAACTATTCGCTTGCTGCTGAAGATGGGGACTTGAGCACTTATGTGAGTGTCCTGAGTGCTGTGATGTCGATTCCTAATTTAACATTCAACTCTCTCGGTCTTTGGATTATAGAGTTGATGCCTGACTGAAGCATGGGTATACTACATCCACAAGGTCCGAATACACAGCACACTGGGTAACCGGTATTGCTGGATTGGCTTAGTTCTTTTTATCCTTTCACTGATACCAGTGTTGTGGTGTTCTGTATTCTTCAAGCACTTCTCGAGTGATGTGTTTGTTAATTTTTATTGTCGACAGGTGTCAGCTACCTTTTTGATCCATCTTATCTTTCTCCCGGATGTTCTGCTGGAAAAAAATTAATTTATAAATATAATATGCAGTTTGGTTTGGCTGCATTCTCACTAGATTGCTTCATTTCATTATTTTTTTGTCAGTATAGTTCAGACACTGTCTTATTCAAACTTTCTGTGTGATGCTGGTGTTTGTAAGCTGTTCCTTTGTGGTGTTAGTGATCTTACCGAGACATCACATTTCACAGGTAGTTATTTTCTATTCTAATGCCCTTCCTTGTCCATGTTTGGCACTGATAGTATAAAGTAGGAATGAAGATTCTTCAATCATTTCCTGTTTTGCTTGAAGGGAGACATTTAGGTGTCTATGCAGCTGGGCTATTTATTAGGTGGCAGCATTTGCCTTTTTTAATCTGGATTCTGTCTCTACTGAGTATTGGTTTAGTTTGCCTGACAAAATTAAAGATGTAAAAGTGAACAGAATATGTTGACTGGAGTAAAACATGCACTTGGTCCGTTGTTTAAGGCTGAAAGAGTTGAGTGGAAGATTGGTCAAAACCACGTTGCATGTTACTCAGAGTTCACCTGGTTTAATGTAGACACATTTGTTTCCTTTTTGTGTAGGATTCACCTAGTATAATGTAGACACATTTGTTTCCTTTTGTGTAGAATTCACCTAGTATAATGTAGACACATTTGTTTCCTTCTGTGTAGAATTCACCTAGTATAATGTAGAAACATTTGTTTCCTTCTGTGTAGAATTCACCTAGTATAATGTAGAAACATTTGTTTCCTTTTGTGTAGAATTCACCTAGTATAATGTAGACACATTTTTTTCCTTCTGTGTAGAATTCACCTAGTATAATGTAGACACATTTTTTTTCCTTCTGTGTAGAATTCACCTAGTATAATGTAGACACATTTTTTTCCTTCTGTGTAGAATTCACCTAGTATAATGTAGACACATTTGTTTCCTTTTGTGTAGAATTCACCTAGTATAATGTAGACACATTTGTTTCCTTTTGTGTAGAATTCACCTAGTATAATGTAGACACATTTGTTTCCTTTTGTGTAGAATTCACCTAGTATAATGTAGACACATTTGTTTCCAATGTTGAGTATATTTTTGCCCCCTTTTTTTTTTTTTTTAAAGAGTTCACCTAGAATAATTTTAGTGACATTTATTTCCTGTTTAAGCAATGTCTGCCTGGTATAATGTAGACACATTTGTTGCCTGTTTGTGTAGAGTTCACCTGTATAATGTAGACACATTTGTTGCCTGTTTGTGTAGAGTTCACCTGTATAATGTAGACACATTTGTTGCCTGTTTGTGTAGAGTTCACCTAGTATAATGTAGACACATTTGTTGCCTGTTTGTGTAGAGTTCACCTAGTATAATGTAGACACATTTGATGCCTTTTTTTTTCATTGTTAGGTATATTTTTTGCCTTTTTTTTTTTTTCATTCTTTAGAGTTTACCTAGTATAATTTTAGAGACTTTTATTTCCTGTTTAATGCCTGGTATAATGTTGACACATTTGTTGCCTGTTTGTTTTAGTTTACTTTTGTGGGAAAATTGTTTGCCTCTTTATGCAGAGTTTACCTGTTATAATGTTGACATATTTGTTGCCTGTCTATGCGAAGTTTGCCTTATAATGTTGAAACATTTATCTGTTTGTGCAGAGTTCACCTAATAGTTTTGACACATTTGTAGCATGTTTGTATAGTCGATGGTTTAATCGGGCGGGATGAACCACACCACCCCTCAATTGTCGATTGGACTATAGAAATATATGTGTAGCCTCATATGCCTTATGTTCCATTTGTAAGGAACTCCCCTCCCCCCACCCCCCCCCCCTCCCCCACTTTTCGGTCACCTGTTAACACATTTGTTGCCTGTTTATGCTGTTAACCTTATAATGTTAACACATTTGTTGCCTGTTTATGCTGTTAACCTTATAATGTTAACACATTTGTTGCCTGTTTATGCTGTTAACCTTATAATGTTAACACATTTGTTGCCTGTTTATGCAGTTAACCTTATAATGTTAACACATTTGTTGCCTGTTTATGCAGAGTTCACCTGGTGGTGGAGGAGAAGATCTCGCTGACTGCTGGCCGAGATGGAGGGCTACAGAACATGGAGGTCCATGGAATGCTGCGCTTGAGGGTCAACGACGAAAAGGCCGGGAGGGTCAAGGTTCACGTCACTAATAATGATACCAAAGGAATCCAGTTACAGGTGTGTTAGCTAGTTAGTTTTGTTCCCCTCCAGCTGTCATGTTGTTGCTGTGTGCTCCAGTTCTGTCTTTCTCATGATGTACCCAAACAATGTCCGTTGTCTTCTGTTGATGCTGCCAACTGTATTAGTACTTTGGTGTACATTCCTAATTCGTGCCAAATCCTTGGACTAATACTAAAAGGGTATATACCAAACAAATTTTCCCACAAGAAATAACCAAAAGAGAAAGGTTAATCAACTCATAAGAGCCCTATTATAGGGACAACAAGAATAGACCCACTACCTACCCAAAAGCATGTCATAAGAGTCGACTAATTGGGAGCTTCCTTCGAAGTTGGAGTGCATCTGTCTAAGAGGCAAGGAACCAGCAGTCTGCATACACATGAGTCAGATATGTTAAACGGATGCACACACCACTCAGGTTCTGGAACAGGACTGCAGTCCAGAAGTGGATGAACAACCAGAACTTTCCACCAGAATTTACAGCTGCTGAACACGAAGAAGAAGTCATAAGAAGAAGAAAATTATATTGTCATTCAAAACTGTGTTCCCTTTTTAAATGTAAATAATATGGACACAAACAATACAAATTGCCAGGTATATTTTGCTGTATCTCGTCAGGTGCATTACTACAGAGTTAAGTCAACATATAATGAAGTAGAAATGAATCATCTTCTTCTTCTTCTGAAAATAAATCCTTTTCTTGCTGAAATGCATAAACCACACTGTCCAAATGCTGTACATCTATCCATAGGAAGGTCAAAATCAGTCGGAGGATTATTCCTATGGTAACCTCATATTGATAACCTGATCGTTCTGTTTACATAAAATAGAAGAGTAGAGTTTTTAATTGATGCAGCCTCAACCAGTTTTAGCAAACGTCTATTCAGTGTGTGGTGAATATTCTTATTGGCATATTTTATGCTGGTGAGGTTGTATAAAATAATTTGGCGAAAGGAAGGAAGGAAGGACGAGAAAATGTGTTTGGAAGGGGAGTCTGCTTTCAATAAAACATCACAAATCTAAAATTCTGGTGATTGTTTTTTTTTCTTCTGTCTTTTACGTAGTTGGATGTAGGTTTGATCTTCACCAGAAATCTGTCCAGAGAACTTTACTTCAGCCTTCTGATCATTGTCCCATTATGCCACATCTCATTGAGTCGTCAGTTTCTGTTCACTGTCTGATCTTCCTGATCTAATCTAATCAGTTCCCTCCACCAGGTGTCATTGGGTCACTACATGCTGATGACTCTCTAATCAGTTCCCTCCTCCAGGTATCATTGGGTCACCACTTGCTGATGACTCTCTAATCAGTTCCCTCTACCAGTTGTCATTGAGTCACCACTTGCTGATGACTCTCTAATCAGTTCCCTCTACCAGTTGTCATTGGGTCACCACTTACTGATGACTCTCTAATCAGTTCCCTCTACCAGTTGTCATTGGGTCACCACTTGCTGATGACTCTCTAATCAGTTCCCTCTACCAGTTATCATTGGGTCACCACTTGCTGATGACTCTCTAATCAGTTCCCTCTACCAGGTATCATTCGGTCACCACTTGCTGATGACTCTCTACTCAGTTCCCTCTACCAGGTATCATTGGGTCACCACTTGCTGATGACTCTCTAATCAGTTCCCTCCTCCAGGTATCATTGGGTCACCACTTGCTGATGACTCTCTAATCAGTTCCCTCTACCAGTTGTCATTGGGTCACCACTTGCTGATGACTCTCTAATCAGTTCCCTCTACCAGTTGTCATTGGGTCACCACTTACTGATGACTCTCTAATCAGTTCCCTCTACCAGTTGTCATTGGGTCACCACTTGCTGATGACTCTCTAATCAGTTCCCTCTACCAGTTATCATTGTGTCACCACTTGCTGATGACTCTCTAATCAGTTCCCTCCTCCAGGTATCATTGGGTCACCACTTGCTGATGACTCTCTAATCAGTTCCCTCTACCAGTTGTCATTGGGTCACCACTTGCTGATGACTCTCTAATCAGTTCCCTCTACCAGTTGTCATTGGGTCACCACTTGCTGATGACTCTCTAATCAGTTCCCTCTACCAGTTATCATTGTGTCACCACTTGCTGATGACTCTCTAATCAGTTCCCTCTACCAGTTGTCATTGGGTCACCACTTGCTGATGACTCTCTAATCAGTTCCCTCTACCAGTTATCATTGGGTCACCACTTGCTGATGACTCTCTAATCAGTTCCCTCTACCAGGTATCATTCGGTCACCACTTGCTGATGACTCTCTACTCAGTTCCCTCTACCAGGTATCATTGGGTCACCACTTGCTGATGACTCTCTAATCAGTTCCCTCCTCCAGGTATCATTGGGTCACCACTTGCTGATGACTCTCTAATCAGTTCCCTCTACCAGTTGTCATTGGGTCACCACTTGCTGATGACTCTCTAATCAGTTCCCTCTACCAGTTGTCATTGGGTCACCACTTACTGATGACTCTCTAATCAGTTCCCTCTACCAGTTGTCATTGGGTCACCACTTGCTGATGACTCTCTAATCAGTTCCCTCTACCAGTTATCATTGTGTCACCACTTGCTGATGACTCTCTAATCAGTTCCCTCTACCAGGTATCATTTGGTCACCACTTGCTGATGACTCTCTAATCATTTCCCTCTACCAGTTGTCATTGGGTCACCACTTACTGATGACTCTCTAATCAGTTCCCTCTACCAGGTGTCATTGGGTCACCACTTGCTGATGACTCTCTAATCAGTTCCCTCTACCAGTTGTCATTGGGTCACCACTTGCTGATGACTCTCTAATCAGTTCCCTCTACCAGTTGTCATTGGGTCACCACTTACTGATGACTCTCTAATCAGTTCCCTCCACCAGGTGTCATTGGGTCACCACTTGCTGATGACTCTCTAATCAGTTCCCTCTACCAGTTGTCATTGGGTCACCACTTGCTGATGACTCTCTAATCAGTTCCCTCTACCAGTTGTCATTGGGTCACCACTTTCTGATGACTCTCTAATCAGTTCCCTCCACCAGGTGTCATTGGGTCACCACTTGCTGATGACTCTCTAATCAGTTCCCTCTACCAGTTGTCATTGGGTCACCACTTGCTGATGACTCTCTAATCAGTTCCCTCCACCAGTTGTCATTTTGTCACCACTTGCTGATGACTCTCTAATCAGTTCCCTCTACCAGTTGTCATTGGGTCACCACTTGCTGATGACTCTCTAATCAGTTCCCTCCACCAGGTGTCATTGGGTCACCACTTACAGATGACTCTCTAATCAGTTCCCTCCACCAGGTGTCATTGGGTCACCACTTACAGATGACTCTCTAATCAGTTCCCTCTACCAGGTGTTATTGGGTCACCACTTGCTGATGACTCTCTAATCCGTTCCCTCCACCTGGTGTCATTGGGTCACCACTTACAGATGACTCTAATCAGTTCCCTCTACCAAGTGTCATTGGGTCACCACTTGCTGATGACTCTCTAATCAGTTCCCTCCACCAGGTGTCATTGGGTCACCACTTACAGATGACTCTCTAATTAGCTCCTTCCACCAGTTGTCATTGGGTCACCACTTGCTGATGACTCTCTAATCAGTTCCCTCCACCAGGTGTCATTGGGTCACCACTTGCTGATGACTCTCTAATCAGTTCCCTCTACCAGTTGTCATTGGGTCACCACTTACAGATGACTCTCTAATCAGTTCCCTCCACCAGGTGTCATTGGGTCACCACTTACAGATGACTCTCTAATCCGTTCCCTCCACCTGGTGTCATTGGGTCACCACTTACAGATGACTCTAATCAGTTCCCTCTACCAAGTGTCATTGGGTCACCACTTGCTGATGACTCTCTAATCAGTTCCCTCTACCAGGTGTCATTGGGTCACCACTTACAGATGACTCTCTAATTAGCTCCTTCCACCAGTTGTCATTGGGTCACCACTTGCTGATGACTCTCTAATCAGTTCCCTCCACCAGGTGTCATTGGGTCACCACTTGCTGATGACTCTCTAATCAGTTCCCTCTACCAGTTGTCATTGGGTCACCACTTACAGATGACTCTCTAATCAGTTCCCTCCACCAGGTGTCATTGGGTCACCACTTACAGATGACTCTCTAATCAGTTCCCTCTACCAGGTGTTATTGGGTCACCACTTACAGATGACTCTCTAATCAGTTCCCTCTACCAGGTGTTATTGGGTCACCACTTGCTGATGACTCTCTAATCCGTTCCCTCCACCTGGTGTCATTGGGTCACCACTTACAGATGACTCTAATCAGTTCCCTCTACCAAGTGTCATTGGGTCACCACTTGCTGATGACTCTCTAATCAGTTCCCTCCACCAGGTGTCATTGGGTCACCACTTACAGATGACTCTCTAATTAGCTCCTTCCACCAGTTGTCATTGGGTCACCACTTACAGATGACTCTAATCAGTTCCCTCTACCAAGTGTCATTGGGTCACCACTTGCTGATGACTCTCTAATCAGTTCCCTCCACCAGGTGTCATTCTGTCACCACTTACAGATGACTCTCTAATTAGCTCCTTCCACCAGGTGTCATTGGGTCACCACTTGCCGATGATAATCTAGCTGTGTCATTGGATAAAATGGACTTGTTTGTATATTTGAGCCTGTCCAGTCGGCCAGTTTCTGTATCCAGGCTTTTCTTTTTCTGCCTGTTCTACTCTTTCCCATCTACTGAGTGCTTTAGTATCATTTTGGAGAAACCTTTAGATCTTGTTACGCCCCCTACTATTGCATTTCCCATGTATTTCTTAGATTATCTTTCCTATTTGTTTCATTGATAGCTACAGTGTTAGACATGGTGATATGAGCTTTCGTGTGGCTAGAATTCACTTTACTATTCCAGCCTCTGTGTGTGCTGAGTGATCCCATGAGCATGATCTGGCGAGTCGAGGTAGACTCCATACGCAGACAGTAGATTTATTGCAAAACTCTTCTGTGTGTGCAGTTGCTATCATATTTATGCAGGTGTTGTTGGCCATGAAAGAGCTGATAGATTTGTAGGTTCTTCTTTAGTGTCAAATAGTTGGCCTATGAATCGTGCCGACATTGTCACTGCCCTTAGAGAGATTGGATGCTCCTAGGATTATGGAAGCAATGCGTCCACATCACTGCTAAAAATACCAGAATCAGGGGTTAAGATCGGCACAACCAAGCATGAGAGGCACACTGGATGCACAAGAAATCTTGTCAGCCAGCATAAGGCTGGCTACTGCTAATCATGCAATGCAGATGAATTTGTTAAAGGGGAAATCTGTGCACATATGGATGTGTCCGGAGTGCTGTGAAGATAATCCAACTCAGAACTCATCGATCAGACATGGTCATCTTGCAGACTCACCCCAATGTTGACAAGAAGCTGTTTACCCAGACCTCAGTGATCAGCCTGAAGAACCCGGAGAAACCTTTTCCTGTGGGACAGGACATTGGTGTCCTAAAGTGGAGGTTTCAGACCCAGGATGAGTCTCATATACCCTTGACAAGTATGTTGTGAAGTGTCTGGTTGTATTGAATCACAAGGGGCAGTTTGATTGTTTGGGGGGGGGGGGGGGGGGGGGGGGGGTTTGGGCATTTGGTTTTTAAGAATGCTATGCTAGATCAGAAAGTATGGTGTGCTAGATCAGAGACTGTGCTATGCTAGATCAGAAAGTATGGTGTGCTAGATCAGAGACTGTGCTATGCTAGATCAGAAAGTATGGTGTGCTAGATCAGAAAGTATAGTGTGCTAGATCAGAAAATATTAGTGTATATCAGAGACCATGATGTGCTAAATCAGGAACTATGCTGTGCCAGATCAGAAAGTATGCCTTGCTAGATCAGAAACTATGCTGTGCTAGATCAGAAAGTATGCCTTGCTAGATCAAAAACTATGCTGTGCTAGATCAGAAAGTATGCCTTGCTTGATCAGAAAGTATGCCTTTTTAGATCAGAAAGTAAGCCTTGCTAGATCAGAAAGTATGCCTTGCTTGATCAGAAAGTATGCCTTGTTAGATTAGAAAGTATGCCTTGCTGGATCAGAAAGTATGCTGTGCCAGATCAGAAAGTATGCCTTGCTAGTATGCCTACAAAGTCAGAGCACATTTGCCTCAGAGAAACTAACAGTCTGTATACAGGTAAAACAGATCTATAAAATACACAAATGAAGTTCTAAAACAAGACTAAAGTTGAGAAGTGAACGAACAGCCAGAAAGTATGCCTTGGTAGATCAGAAAGTATGCCTTGTTAGATCAGAAAGTATGCCTTGCTGGATCAGAAAGTATGCTGTGCTAGATCAGAAAGTATGCCTTGCTAGATCAGAAAGTATGCCTTGTTAGATCAGAAAGTATGCCTTGCTAGATCAGAAAGTATGCCTTGCTAGATCAGAAAGTATGCCTTGTTAGATCAGAAAGTATGCCTTGCTAGATCAGAAAGTATGCCTTGCTAGATCAGAAAGTATACCTTGTTAGATCAGAAAGTATGCCTTGTTAGATCAGAAAGTATGCCTTGCTAGATCAGAAAGTATGCCTTGCTAGATCAGAAACTATGCTGTTCCAGATAGAAACTGTTCTGTGCCAGATCAGAAACTGTGCTGTGCTAGATCAGAAGCTATTCTGTGCTAGACCAGAAAACATAGTTGATTTACTATATAAGTCTGTATAAATCCTGTCTTGTCTTGCGTTTCACAGTCAACTGCTGGCCCAATGAGAACGGAGAGGTGAACATTGAGTATGAGTTACAGCAGGGACATATGGAGCTGGAGGATGTTCAGATCAACATACCTTGTCCGTGAGTACTGCGTTATTTGTTCGTTCCCTCTGACCATGTAGAATCTATGAGGGGGCTTCAAGTGAAACCTTGACGGTGTGGATAGTATTGTTGTTATTGATGTAAAGGGAATGCTGCTCCTCTCTGATACATGTTAAAAGTAGGGCAGCCGTCGTTAAAGTGTCATTGTGGCCTCACTGATTCATCTGCACTTTGATGCCATGTGCGAAACACTCTTGACATCCTTAACAGTATTGACAGGTTACAAGACTTATTCTGTCACACTTTTCAGGTTTACAATCTGTTTCTGCCTGTCCAACTCGCCCTGGCTGGGCTGCCGATCATCTGATGAACTGTGGCGCCTAGCGGCATACGCAGGTATTGACAACAGAAGAAGATTGTTTACATTATTTCTGTTAAATTTGGCTTGATCACTTCCATCTGATTTTGGTTGGAGATACGCCAGTTATGTGATTTTTGTGTATTCTTGTTCATATTTGTGGTATTGTTGATTTGTGTATTTTGCTGATGCCACTTCCAGTTGTCATTTGTGTATGAAGATTCTCTAGCTGCAGCGTTTAATTGTCATTTGTAATTTTGTGAAGTTTACTAGTTCTACTTTTTGTTCCATCTGATATTTTGTCACAGAATTTGCTTAATGTTTTTTTCTTTGAATGTTTTAATGCTTAAAGATGTTAACAGGTTAAGTTTTTTGCTAGAATATCTGTTTCATCACCTTTCATGTGTATTAGATCCTATCATTTATTGCAAATCTGTTTATTTGGTTAGGAGCGGAGTAGGAGCGCCCGTAATTAACGAATGTGACGGCGAGCATCGCTATGACAACCAGAAGAGGACACTGCAGTGGAGTCTGCCATTCATTGACTCCAGCAACAAGTCAGGAAGTCTGGAGTTCACCATCAATGGCCAGCCAGATGATTTCTTTCCCATCACGGTGACTTTTGTGTCCCGGCAGTCATTTTGTGATATAAAGGTAAGTGTGTTTGGCCATGGTTGGATTGTTCAACTTGTACATGCGAGACATTTGGGATTGAGTATGGATTATTCAGCTTGTACGTGGATTGTTCAATTGATAGGTTGAACTGGTGGATGGGTTGTTCAAGTGATAGATAGGTTAAACTGGTGGATGGATTGTTCATGTGATAGATAGGTTAAACTGGTGGATGGATTGTTCAAGTGATAGATAGGTTAAACTGGTGGATGGATTGTTCATGTGATAGATAGGTTAAACTGGTGGATGGATTGTTCAAGTGATAGATAGGTTGAGCTGGTGGATGGATTGTTCATGTGATAGATAGGTTAAACTGGTGGATGGATTGTTCAAGTGATAGATAGGTTGAGCTGGTGGATAGATTGTTCAAGTGATAGATAGGTTAAACTGGTGGATGGATTGTTCACGTGATAGATAGGTTAAACTGGTGGATGGATTGTTCAAGTGATAGATAGGTTAAACTGGTGGATGGATTGTTCAAGTGATAGATAGGTTGAGCTGGTGGATGGATTGTTCAAGTGATAGATAGGTTAAACTGGTGGATGGATTGTTCACGTGATAGATAGGTTGAACTGGTGGATGGATTGTTCAAGTGATCGATAGGTAGGAGTGGTGGAAGGGTTGTTCAAGTGATAGTTAGGACTAGTGGATGGGTTGTTAAACCTTTAATGAGTTATTTAACTACTAGATGGATTGTTTAATTGGTGGATGGATTTTTTTAACGGCTTATTATGTTTGTAACTTTTAGATGGATTGATTTTTAAACGGTGGATGAATTTTTTTAAACGGTTTATTATGTTTTGTAAATTTTAAATGAATTATTTTTAATTGGTGAATGACTTGTTCTGGTGGATAGATTGTAGTATTGGACTAACCACATGTTCCTTCTGTTTGCACACAATGTGAATGCTTATCCTGTGAATACTGCCATGGTGAAACAGTAGAGTGAAATAGCAGATGGCATGTTCAGTGCCTAGATGTATTGTTAGCGATTAGGTGAATATTTAAACTGGTAAATGGGTTATTTAACAGGTAGACAGTCTAGAATTATTCTACCATGAATTGAAATGGCTCTTACAGCTCAGAACAGTCATATCGTTGTTCAAATGAAACAATCTGAATTGTTAAAATCTACAGAAGTTCAAATACAATGCAGGAAACAAAACAGAATCACAAGCATACAAAAAGAAGAAGCAGCAGCAGTGTCTGCAAAGAAAGATCAGAAATGAAGAGAAATATACAGATGACAGTCAATTATGTCACTCTGTTTTACCTGGCAGAGTTCATAGGATAGGCTTTCGCATTGTATGCAAACAGAAGCATGCCATGGTAAAAAGTAAATTGAAACAATGGACTATGTGAGTTATGTATTTCAATTATGGTTTGTCCTTTTGTATATGTTGAAGTGAATATGTTGACAGGGTACTAGAAAAATTGTTTTCTCATTTAAAATATATATTTGTCAGTAGGGAGCCGCCGTGGCGTATAGCAGCTAGATATTCATCTCTGCCCAAAAGTCATGGGTTCAAATCCATATGGGAAGTTTTTTTTGTTTTTGTTTTTTGTTCTACTGAAAAAATTTTCTGACTTTGGTTGACCCAGCCTAAAATTGGTGTCAGGAAAAGTCTTGGGAAGTAAAGCTGGTGAAGTTATGTTGGCATCACCCGCGAAGTACCAACTGGTGTATAAAATATTGATCTAGCATTCGGTAGTCAAAATGCCTGATGGGTTGAAAAAGGGTTAGTGTTAGTATATTCAGACACACATTTTTCTTGTGTGTTAATGTTTCATATATAGTAGTATATTTACACACATAAGTGTTTCATATATGTAAGTATATTTACACACACATGTTTTTTTTTCTTTTGGACAGGTGGATGAGGTACAACAGATAGACGGAGGTGCTGCAGAAAAATTCTCCTCAGAAGTCCTCGTCTTTGTGGAAAACTATGAGGTGGTTTGACCTTTGACCTTGTCTCATACCAGCACTGGCAACATTGTGAGCGTGGACTGGGTGGCTGTGGGGTCATTACTTTGTGCTTGAGAGAAAACTTCAAGTTGATCAAACGGTTCTAGATCGCATATAAGATAATGGATGATCCACAGGAGTTCTGTTGTCTTCATGTGGAGCATAGGATTACAGCTGTGTTATCTGTGTATATTTGAGTCTGTTCTAGTTTGTATTCTATTTTGCCTGTTGCCCAGAGAAGACTTAATATGGTCACTTCCAGTTGTGTTGGATGACCTGTTCTAGAAAAGCATAGTTTAATTTAATTGGTTCTGTGAGTGCTTGTGCAGCATTTAAGTGAATATGGTGGCTTTTTAAAAAGTCAAGTTGATGTCAAATCTTCCTGTAAACCTCAGTGGTTGAGGTCATTGGGTCACAGCATGAGTTACCCAATACATTTTTTAGACTTCACTCTGTTTATGTTTATTGATTATCCCTTTATGTATCTTTAAATATTTTGAAAACATGTTTATGAATGTAGATTTAAAAAATTATTAAAGACCAGTGTATTATAGTTTTTGTTTAAAAGGTTTTTCCATGAGTTAATGGGGTTGTTTTTTTTCATTCGCTGGACAAAATAATCAACACAACTTTGACTAGCAAGCTCAGTGAGAGGAAAGGAAAAGATGAGCACAGGCGCTGTCTACCAAAGTCTTTATGTATCTTCTTCTCCTTTGTGTTATCTGGCTATACTACAGCAGAAAGGTCTGCTGGTTCATCATCCATTTCTGCAATTTGGTATGCACATCCGTTTTACTGATCTGTTATGCAGTTTGTTGATTCGTAACCTTCAGGCAGATGCACTCTGATTTGACAGACCTGCTTGTTCTAATGTTCCGATTAGTTCTCTTATGATGAAAACCTCCAGACAATTCATATCTCGGACGGTTTGTTTTATTTTCCTCTGTTGTGGCTTGTGTTCTGTAATTTCAATGCTGTCTGTTTATAAATTAATCCAGATTTACAACTTATTGTTATCAATCCAGCGGCGCATGAGCTTTCACCCTCTGGCCCAATGCCATGTAGTGGAGTCTGCATGTTTTCACAAGCTGTTCTTTTCCTCCGTACAAGGTGTTCCACTTGTCTGGTCTCGGAGGGAGTAGCATTCTTCTAGTCTCGCTGAGTTTTGGTCACTCAAAGAGATGGTGTTCAACAGTTTCGTAGGGGTAATTAAGTTTCGTAGGGGTAATTAAGTTTCTTAGGGGTAAATTAACTAAGAAGAGCGCAACCTAGATGTTTTAAAAAAAAGCAAATCCTTGAAAACTACTTATCGCAAACATCAGAAAGAGACAGTCATCATTTTTTGGTCATGTTAGGAAAAGAGGGACCAATGGAACATGGTTTGACCACTGGAACATGGTTTGACCAATGGAACATGGTTTGACCACTGGAACATGGTTTACCACTGGAACATGGTTTGACCACTGGAAAGATCTGTGAAAAGGGAGACAGGGGAAGACAGCATGAGAAGATTATTGCCAGTCTTCTGTCATGGCTTGGATGGATGTCAGCACACATACTGATACACGCATATTGTGGAGAGGCATGATCGCCCATGCCCGTCGCAAGGCACTTGATGATGATGATGATCATACTGTTTTATTAAAAAAATATTTATTTTAATTGCCTAATTTTGGAATTTGTACTTGATGCTGAGGGAATTAATTTAAAAAAAAATTATCCATAATTTTTCAACTGCTTTTATGAAATGAACATTGCAGTGTAGTATGTGTTCAGTGATGTATGGTTGGCTGGTGTGTCAGATGTACCTTGACCGTGTGTCATTGCCACCTGGTTATTAACAACCTTCTAAAAACCTTTTTATTTTATTTTTGTGTATAGAAAAAATGTGAATTGATTGATAATTGTTATATAAATTATATCTGTTTCGGGAAATGCATTGAAAAAGTTTGAATTGTAATAAAATTGTACAATAATTCGGTAAAGTTAAGCACTGTGTGCCAGTTGACATAGAGGATGTTGGGTCAGATCTGCTGTGTAGTTGCAGGGCGGAGATGTTTTGATCGTAAAGATGCAGTAGTTCTAACTGTGATTGCTGCAGTGTGGATGCCTCGGGTCAAGGCCACTGAAGGATGTTGGAGTTTATACTTTAGTGTGGCTGCCACAAACAAAAACCATTTAGGAGACATATTGTTGGATGTTGGAATTTATTTTTGATGCCACAGATTTGTCCGGAGACTAACTGAAGGATCTTAGAGTTTAGACTGAGGTTTTGAACAACAAATCAACATCATGGCACGCGGGTGTAACCCAAAAGTGCTCCGTTCCTCTTCTAACTCAAGTCTGAGTCTGATGAAGCTCAGCACAGTGCCCAGGCTCTGTAGCACTGAGGAGGATCCTAAAATACTTTGGTTAGATATTTAACTCAAAATGTTGTCCGGGCAACACCATTACACTACTCTTTTCGATTTCCAACTACCAAGAGATTTTTAACATGCGCAGCAATGCACACGGCGTCGGATCTCACTAGCCAGAGACCAGGGGGAATTACTAGAAGTCTGAGTCCACATGCAAAAATCCCAGTCCTTACCAGGGATTGAACCCGGAACCTCTAGCACTCAAGGCAGTCCCCCACTATGGCTTATTTGTATGAAGACTTGGTTTCTTGCCTCTCCAACTTTGGCAACATCAAAAGACATATCAACCATTTAAAAACCATACTGGAGGGAAAGGTTGAAGGGAAGAGAGTAAGAGGTGGATAGCGATTCAAATGGGCAGCAGTCTGAGAGAGAGAGTACAACCAGGACAAAGGGACAGAGCATGTTGGTGATCTGTTGCAGCCAACCTTCACTGTGGAGATGGCACCTGATTGATAGAAACTGGGCATACGATTTAATTATCTATAAAGGAAAAAAAAATGGGCCGACCAGCACAAAAATGGGCACAGGATAAAAGTGACTCCTCGAATATGAAAGTACACAAGGTGGGAGAGAACTGAGTTTCTTTCAGGCTGACCGTGATGAGAGCGCAGTTCTGCTACATGTTGATGATGTTCATAGTTTGAAAGCAGAAGTCAGAAATATGTATCAAGAATCAAACCGCTTAACATTGCGTAACCATTGAAACTCCAATGTAAATTGTGTTGTTAACAGGGTTTCTAGAATATGTATGTTTTATTATTCTTTTTTTGTTTTGTTTTTTAAGCATTCACTGGATGTAAGCTCTGGCAGAAAGTTAAGGTTGTTTATTCACTCCAGGACCTTTGGTCTTGATCCAAAATCTGAGTTTTCCATGCATGTCTGTTTTACAGATCTGGCTGATTTGTGTTTTGACTGTTGGTTCTTTGCTTTTCAGACAGATGCAATTGACTTTAAGAAAACTGCCCTTATTAGTTGCCTCTTATGACATGCTTGATAGGCAATAGGCATATACCTTGTAATCCAAAATGAAGCCTCCAGAACACGCATGGGAGTTTGAATCTCACCTTTCAAGGGAAAGGTCAGAGGCAAGGGAGTACAACGATACAAGTGGGAGGACAGTGTTAAGAGTAGGACGGGGAGCAGTCTGAAAGAGTGTACAACCAGGACAAGAGACAGTGTGTGATGGAGATCCATTGCAGCCAACCTTTACTATGGGGATGGCACTGATTGATATGTTAAACCAGCGCTGCTGCAAATCTTGGAAGGTGAGTATACTGTGGATAGTGACAAACAATGACAATGAAATGGCTAATGAATTAGCCAACCACATACAGCTATCTAAAAGAAGCAGAAAGTGTTCTTTGGTTGTGCGATGAGAAGAGAGGCTTTAGAGAATATGCTGTTGACTGGAAAGATCAAAAGTTGAAGAGGCGGAAGCAGACTAAGAGAAACAATGATTTGCAGCCTGAAGCGATGGCGTGGTGGATTATCATCAGTGGAATAGAGATATGTGGATGGTCATGAGCGTCTGTGCGGCTGGGCAGGGCACATGATGATGGTGATATGCTGGCCCATCTTTGTGCTAGCCGAAGAGACAATAGCTTTCGTGACAGACAAGCAAGATAAAAATTACAGCCAATTATGCTTGTGCGATTATTATGATACTGATATTTATCTTGGATTATAGAATGTATATACAATGTGTTTAAAACTGGGACTGGTTATCAGTAAAATTCTCTTCATACAGTTATTTGTGGGCTTGTGTTTTTGTCTTCATCTCATTTATTTGTACAGTCATGTGTGGGCTTGTATTTTTGTGTTTATTTGTTCATCTCTTGATTAAATTTCATCATGTAGGCTTGTATTTTCCTGGCAATTTGATGGTTTCACCACATATGTGAGCGTGTATTGTTGTGTTCATTTGTTCATCTCTTCATACAATCATGTGTGCGCTTGTATTTTCATGTTACATCTCAACTCTTCATACAGTTATGTTTTTACTTGCATGTTTGTGTTCATCTCAACTCTTCATACAATTATGTTTAGACTTGCACGTTTGTGTTCACCTCACCTCTTCATACAGTTATGTTTGGACTTGCATGTTTTGTTCATCTCAAGATTTTATAGAATCATGTTTCTGCTTGTATTTTTGTGGTTGGTGGTTTGAACAAAGGATCAACATCATGGCACAAGTGCTCCGTTGTACTTTTAACTCTAACCTGACTCTGAAGAATTTCAGCACAGTACACGAACTCTGTAGCAATTCTTAAGAATTACAGCTCAGTACACAAACTCTGTAGCACCAGCGAGGATCCTGAAGTAATTTTTGATATAAATTTCTAAATTCCAGTTTTGCCTGGTCAGCGCCGTTAAGCTACTATTTTAATTTTCCAACTGCCTCTGGAAACTAACACTCCAGTTGCTTTAGGGCATATCTACACTGTAGGGTTAATGAATTCAGATTCAGGATGCTTACAGGCAACAGAAGAGTAACATTTTCCACAGCAGAAGTTATCCAGTATCTCTGCTACCATCACAAACAACACTGGCAGTGGTGGCTGTGCGATACTCAAG